TCTATGCAGGAAAGCAATGCGCTCTTCACAGACTAGCAAGACCCTACTTCAGTGATCCTCCGTTCCCCAGATCCAGCCTCATCCTCACGCTTCACTCTCAGTGTGTCAGGCGATTCGGTATCCGAAGCTCGCGATGCTGCTGGTGTTGGGATTGCGCTAAGTGTCAAGGCCGAGCGTTCACTTCTCGATTGGATCCCGGTTAACAGCCGACTTTGCGCCGTACGTCTGGATGGTTCAGTACGCNCGTCGTATCCGCGTATGCACCGACAGATTGCAGTTCACCAGAAATGAAGGATGAATTCTACAAGGACCTCTCAACTGCTCCAAAGTGCTCAGTCAACGGACATTGTGGTAGTCGCTGGAGACTTCAATGCTAAAGTGTGATCCCTGGACGAGTCAGAGAGGTTACTTGGCGGTTCGCATGCAATCCCAGCCAATAGGACTGACAACAGAGGGTGCCTACTCCAACTTTGTGCTGACCACGGACTGTTTCGGTCAAGCACGAACTTGTAGCACAAAGAACGCCACCGCCTCATGTGGAGACCACCGACTTCTTCACAGCACTGGACTCAAATCGACCCTATCGCCATTAGCCACCGCTGGATAGGATCCATTGAAGACTGCCTCTCCCACTGGTCAACAACCTTGGACACCGGCCATGCGCTGTTACGAGTGAGGTTCTCACTACGCCTGATAAGCAACCACAGAAAAACCGGTGAAAACGGATGCCCACAATACACTATCATCGACAGTTGCCAATTAGCCTTCGAAACGGAACTATCAGATCGCCTCTCAGCACAACCATCAGCCAGAGGACTCAGTGAACACTGGTCGGCAGTCAAGGAAGCGATCCAAACGTCGATAAAAACTACGGCAAATTCTGGCGCACGATCAAATAAAAAACGATGGATCTCCCCGACATCGGTTGCCCTGCTGGACGCTCGCAGAGCCATTCTTTCGGATTCAGAATACGACAAAACGCGCAAATCCCTTAAACACCAGCTTATCAAGAGTCTGAGAAATGACCGCGAGAAGTGGTGGGTAGGGAAGTGCAGAGAGATGGCTGTCGGTGATAGTCGCAATTTTTTCGTTTAATTAGGAGTACAGGACCAAGGAAAGCAGGCGTGAGGTAATTAAGGAGTCTGACGACACTGATTCAAATTCAGGAACGTCGCCTTGAACGTTGGGCAAAACATTTTAAATCACACTTCAGATGGTCCCCTTCAACACAAGACCTCTCACCCGATTCAACTGCGCAAATACTGCCACTTGATGCCAGTCCTCCATCTGAAATGGAGGTTACCCGGGAAATAAGTTACCACAATCGGCACCAGGCTTCCAGCCCCGCCGGTTTGTCCCCATCCGTTTTTAAAGATGGAGGCTTAGCTTTGGTTTTAGAGTTAACAAAACTCCTATGTTCAGTGTGGGAGAAGGAAGCGGTTCCAACTGAATGGTGCAAATCGGTAATTATACCGATTCACAAGAAATGTGACAGATCCTCTTGTGAAAACCACAGAGGAATTAGTTTAGTCAACATTGCCTCTAAACGTCTCGCTGGTATCATATTCCGTCGATTGTTTACCGCACGGGAATGGTGTACGCGTGAGAACCAGGCTGGTTTCAGATTTGGTCTAGGCTGTATCGACTACATCTTCACACTTCGTCAAATTCTAGAACATATACTCCTTGCGTCGACCCACCATTTCTATCGTCCTCGATCTAAAAGCGGCGTTCAACTCAGTCGACCGCTCTAAACTGGCGATGCCTTTCCCCGAAGGGAGTGGCCGGGTTTATTTCAATATTACAATCGCTTTATACTAACAGCCGAAGCCGAGTCCGAACTTACGGCACTTTTCACCCGAGTTCACCACGGAAAGTGGTGTTCGACAGGGTTGCTCTCTCTCTCAGTTTCTATTTAACTTCGTGATAGATTCAATTCTTGAAACAGCCCAATCCTCGTGCGAGGATAGTGGTATCGATTTACTCCCAGGTGGCAAGCTGTCTGATCTAGAGTATGCAGACGACATTGTGCTACTAAGTGAAAATTCAGGTAAGTTGCAAGCTTTTCTGGATATTTGAGTTCTAGCGATGTTCAGCATGCGCTTTGCATCCTCGAAGTGTCAAATGCTGCTCCAAGATTGGGTTGGCCCAGTCCCCAGCCTGATCCGGACCGGGGAAGTTGTAGAGAAAGTAGACAAGTTTTGCTATCTGGGCAGCACCTGGCGGACGCATCACAGATGAAGTGTCGGCGCGCATACAGAAGGCTCGGTTGGCATTTGCCAACCTGAGACATTTGTGGCGCCGTCGCGACATTCGCTTGTCTGTGAAGGGTTGAGCGTATGCTGCAGCAGTTCGGTCAGTTCCGTTTACGGCGCAGAGACTTGGCCATTGCGAGAACAGGATAAAAATAGACTGTCAGTGTTCGAATACCGCTGTCTACGTCACATTGCACGAGTCTGGTGGGGTAACCAGATGAGCAATGCTGGGGTTAGAAGTAGAGTTTCAGGCATTTGCGGTCGTCCACTGGAGCAAGGACCAGGATACTGGACTTTGTCTGACCCCTACCCATTGACCTTCCGGACATGGTTAGATCTTTGGCTCTACAAAAGCCATTTTGTATAACTCGTTGGGTCTCAGAGGTGCACAAGCCATCACCACGTCTAGGTGCAGTCTCATTGTGATGGGTGAAATCTCATCTAACCACCGGTTACCATGATCTCGGGATTCCCATCCAGGGATACTTATGTGAACCGGTGTGTTGGAAAGAGTTTTCATACCATCATGCCGGGTCTTATTTTGACCGCTCTTAACCTTTGTCCAACCGCTTTCCGCCTCGGTGACATGTGCAACATATGTCCCAACCAGCGTAGTCTATAGAGGTCGATCAATTACTCCAATGGACGACTGCGGTTACCTAAAACCGCATCTAATCTCAGCATTGCTTGTTCGGTTTCCCTACCAGACTCGTGCAATGCTGCGTAGACACTGGCGTTTCAACACTGGCAGTTTATTTTTGTCTTTTTCCCCTAATGGCCGTGTCTGCATTGTAGGACAGAGCTAACTGGATTGCTACAGCATACAGTCGGCTTCTCACAGACAACCGGATGTCGCGACGGCGTCACAGATGTTTCAATTTGGGAAATGCCCACCCAGCCTCCTGTACGCGCGCTGACTCTTCACCTGTGGTGCGTCCGCCAGGTGAAATGTAGCTGAGCAGACAGCAAAACTTGTCTACTTCCTCTGCCACTTCCCCAGTTAGAGTGGATTGAGTACTGAACCGGCCCAGTCCTGTAGCAAAATTTTACATTTTGAAGGTGCAAAACGCATATCGAACATGGCTACGCTGGTACTCAAACTATCCAGAAAAGCTTGCAACTTACCTGGATCTTCACTTAACAGCGCAATGTCGTCTGCATACTCCAGATCAGACGGTCTACCATATTGGAGCAAATGGATCCCAGTATCCTCACACCAGGCAGCGTAAGAGTCTCTTAGAATGTGCTGGTCTACCGTTGTAAGCTCTATAACTCGATGTTTTTCTTTGAGTTTGTTAGACGTTCGATACAACCCACCCCCAGCTGCCTAAACACAGCTTATTCCGTATAAGTAAAGCAGAACTAGGGGATTGATGGCAGTAGCTCAAGAGCTAAGCTTGTTTGCTGGACCGCGCGTGTTTTGTCGTAGTTCTGTTGGCTTTACGGTTGGACAACCAGTCCAACACACGAGTCACGACNTTTCGGTTTGCGCTTCACAGACTGGAACATCGAGTGGAAACCCGCTCCTTATCCGTGCACTGAGGCTCAAAGGGAAGCTGCCGCTAAACGCTATGGACTTATACTATCTGATTATAAACCCTTCGAGGATGATGGTCTGGCTCCTGGTGATTATCCTAATCTCCAGCCGTTCAATGAAGCCAACAAAGACCCATGGGAGCACTATGATTTCTACCCTGTAAAAAGGAACTATAACGAACCAGTGCCTTTCTGGTACGAGTTCTATTCGGAAGCAGGTACGGATCCGGAAATGGAACACACTCTCTTTTTCGATCAACCATTGTAAGTTTACGTTTTCGGATGGGCGAGAAATATCTTTTCCTAGGTGGCGAATTATTCTCAAATCCCTGGCCCTTCCCATAA